GTTGAGGTACCGTTTCAAGTACCTGCGGGAATAGAGAACGACAAGTATGGCTTTGACTTCGTTCAGGGTTTTGTGTATAATGCTCATGGTCGGTACATTTTGATTGAGATGACTTCATGTCGAGAACCTTCCCCAGCTTCTTTTGGCCAGACATGTGGTACTCCCCAATTTAGCCTTCCACTTTCATTGCCGGCTGTCAGTATACCTTAAGAACCCAAAACCTACTTTTTGTAGGGTCCCTATAAATCCCATATTAGGGTTTGTAGTAAGAACCTACAAAAAAGTGGGTTTTGGGTTCTTAAGGTATGTTTATGGGCTAGGCCCGGCCAGCTTTCAATCTTTTCTAGCGCGGGTTTCTTAGCATTGGCTTAGGTTTAGCGGTTTAGAGAATAGGGTTTTAGGGTTTAGGGTTCAGGATTTCAGGGTTTAGTTTAGGGCTTAGGGTTATAGCATGGATCCCGCTATCTATAACGCGAAACTCATTTCCTTCGGATTTCGATCCCTTGTCGTCTCTTTGAAGCCACGTGTTAGGCAGACATGCGCTTTGACTCTCGTTCGCCCCAGACCCTTACTGCAGATGATTCATCCTACACCCCTAACCCTAAGCTCCATAGACCAAAGCCCTACCCAAGTGCAACTTCGAAACTCCGGACGCAAGCTTGTAGTCAAACCTCAACCCCCCCCAACCCTGCTACGTTCAGCCTCATGACCTCATACACCCCGAAACCCTTAAGCCCTAATATTAATATTATATATATATGATATAGTAGAACTAAAACAGAATATAGAATAAAATCATATATATATATATATAATATACATATATATATATAATATCCGATACAACCCCTGGGACGCAGCTGCCGTTGCAAGGAGAGCTCCCCGTCGCATGGCCATGCGGAGATGACCAGCAACGCAGAGAGCGACCGTGGACAAAAGCTTGCGAGAACTCTGCCTACAGGCTGTTGTGGCTAATATAGGAACCTGATCAAGAAACCATGGGCCTTTATTAGGGTTCTTAATCTGAACCAGAGTGTGTTCGGTTAGCCAGAATTGCAGGAGTTGGAGCAACAGCAATGTGTGGAGCGGGGGAAGAAGAAGTGGCTTTGGTGGTATACACCGGATCTCGAGTATTGCCAGTAGGCGGTCATGGTAAACACCGTGAGAATAGCTGGAATGGCAAGAGTCAGAGGACAGAGAGCGCAGCGTTGAACGATTAATCGGGTTTGTTATTGAACTGGAGATTGTCATGATGAAGCCAATACTGACACAGATATTACATAAAGCAGAAACACGCCTCCATAGCCAAACTAGCTGCGAGCGAGCCTGGCAGACATGTTACCCTGGCACTTAGCTCAAGATATTTGACAAACATGCCCCTAACATATGATGATCCGAAACAGTAGATCAGCAGTTCTTGGTCACTGTCCCAGCAAGGCTTCTGTACAACATGATTACATACTGTTTGGGGTTTGTGGGTGACCATATAATTATCCGAGGTTGGAATAGTTTTCAGTCGGTAGGTTTTGAACAGTTGAAAAGCCTAGTGTATGGTCTGATGAACGAGCAATGATCATGACTGCAACACCGACCTGTAGTAGCCTCCCAGGTTCGTAGCGCTATCATGGTATCATCGCCATCATGATCATCATATTTCATGCCGCCCCTTTTTTGTTTATCCTAGCTACGCCCCACTGCCGATTATTGCTACTTGCATGATTCATGATCCCATTCCCGTCTGAATAGCAAGGTCAGTATTACCACCGCAACTACTGCCACCACTCCTGTGTGTGCGTGCTGCGCACTGGACTTTAGGTCCAGCTCTACAGCTTGCCCTGCCCGTGGCGGCTGAGGTATGCGGTATGCGTATCATGTTAAGCCTCAACGAGTTCTCAGACGCTTTCATGACCTGTAAGCTCAGTCCAAGCCAAGCTGGATTGAAGGCTTAGGATTTATTAACTCTAACCATCGAGCCGTAACACTCCAAACCGTTACTTTCGAGCTCCAAACGTCCTGAGCCATGTCCTACGGACTCCATGGGTCGGGGTCCTTACTTGGGTGACCGCGTGGAGGAGGTAGGATTCTGTATTGGACGTCTCGGTTAGCCGACTTTTTCGGAGTCTTGAAACCAAGTGCCCTCGAATGGTTAAGAGGAGGGTGATGTGTTGTTGTGCTTGCGGCCAGACAATATTTGAGCTGTTGCCCTGACATGCTTATTGAGAGCTTGAACTGTCGGGGATACTAGCCGTAAGTTGTGTCTCGGGGTCAGAAGCCTACTGCAACAGGAAGGCAACAAATCCGACAAAAGTTCGGTTTAGCTATATATGGACACCGTTCTTGCTGGACATGTGAAATTGTTTTGGGACCAGCAAGGTTGCTCAGGGGCATTTCGAGGCTGATTTCCTGCTTGATCTCCGAGCTTTTCGGGCAACTTTTGGATGCGTTTGGACTGGATCTTGCCCCTTTCTTGGAAGGAAGCACCCGTCCAAATCTTCTGCTATGCTCACACTCTGAATGCCCCGTTGCTCCGGGTTTTGTGATATGGCATCCAGAAGCAACTGCTCACAGCCCTTCCAAACCCTGCCTGAAATGTTGCGCAGCTTTCTGAAACCGCCTGCAAGCAACTAACAAATCTCTCGCCCCCGCGGTCCACCGACACCCCACATCCTGAAATCTCCCATGAGCCCCTGAAGCTCCACCAAGATTGCGATTGATCGCCAATGCGACGTACGAGCCGTCGGGTCCAGCACTTGGCATATCCTAGGAGGGCGAGGGTAGGGTCTGAGGCTTCCAGGAGCGGTGATGGAAAAGGAACCCGCAACATAATGTAGGAGCCTGAATAAATAGAGTAGGGTTTTGGGCCGTAATATGCCATGATTATAGTATGGAGTCATAGTATGGAGCCCCCAAACGGTATAGGTAATTGCGAAGGCCCCTACATTATGCTGCAGGCCCTGCCTTCAACCCTTTACATGGAGTGCAGGAAGTGGCGGCTTCGCTTGAATGTTTCTTGCAATGCATCAGGCCGAGGTTAAGATGTGTAGCAACATTCGATGGAGGTTCCAATGGCCATGTGAACGGCCTATAGTTTATCTTGGGTCAGAGGAAGATTTACATCCCACTTATGAGTTGGTCGTTCAGCACTAGTTTTGCCACACAGTCCCTGCCGGGTTTAGAGATTCACCGCGTCGGCAGCAGGGGCTTTGGGTCTAGGTTGTGGGCCACCTCAACCCGGTCTGAACGTTACTTGGAGGATCATGGGACTTAGTAAGTAATAAGTACCTTAATGGGAGTTATAATTTCGATATAGCTATAGCTGACGTATTTATAACCTCACTTACTAAGTCCCATGACCTCCAAGTAGAGCAAGATCCCGACCCAGGAGTCCCCTCCGGAGAGCCGAGGTCGAGACTGGTTCTTCACCGGGGACTACTTCTATCGGAATGGCCGGCGCACGCCAGGCCGTTTTCTCCACATATATATATATATATAAATACATATATATATATATATGCATATACATATATATATATATATATACATACATATACACATATACATATATACATATACATATATGTATACATATACATATACATATATGTATACATATACATATACATATACATATACATATACATATTATATATAGATAGATATGACGGGTATGGACCGGAATCCTATGAAGGCCCTTACAGAAGGAGTGGCCATGGCAGTGACATGCATTTCATAGTTTTCAGGTTCGTCACTGCGTCCGTCAAGGAGTTATGCGAAGAGGGTCAGAGCTTAGTCGCTATCGGGCTTCCGATTTATAGAGAACCAAACTCCAAAGCCAAACCAAAGACCAAGCACCACAGAGCTTCACACCCCGTTATAGCGTACAACCGTTCAGGTTCACCACTTCCTTCGATTTTGAAGATAGGCTTGAAGATACGGTTAAGAGGAGACAGGAGGCTGCTTCTCACGGTCGATGGCTTACATGTCAATTATAAGAATCTAGGATGGGACCTTAAACCCTAAACCCTAAACCTTGGTAGTCTTAGGCGAGTTGAGCTCCAGCATGTAGTTTCTGGTCCTTGTGCTTTGCAGTCTGCAGCCCTAAACCCGACATTACGTAAGGAAGTAAGGCTTGAAGCCGTTAAAACTGCAAAGTTTGAGTCCCAAGAGGATCCAGAAGCCAGGGCTACATGGGGGTTTCCGAAAATAGGGGACCCTAATATAGTACCCTAAATAGTAGGATCCATATTATAAGGACCCCAAAATGGGGTACCCCCCTATTTTCGGAAACCCCCACATGGAGAGTTGAGAGCCCTCAGACCCAACTCCCCACTCGGCTGAAGGTCCACAGGACCGATGGAAGGCATACACCGACAAGGACAGCGGCATTTGCAGGGGTTTTAGGGTTTAGGGTTTAGGGTTTAGGGTTTAGTGTTGGGTGTATTCGGTATTTCTTGTCAGGGACTTGTTCAATGAGCCCCTTAAGTATTTTGCTGCATCAAAGATGTCAGAAGTGATCTAACAACATTTGAGGCAGGATCAGGGTACCTAAAAAAGGGCACTAGCCGAAGTATATATTAAATTACTACAAATGTAGGTACATGGACCCAGAGGGACTATCCTGGCACCCTGGGCAACACCACAACTTTAAACTTTGGCCTTCAATCTGTGGGTCACCGGCGTTTCCGGATCTGATTGGCCGACTTCGTCAAGCCTGAATCTTAGACCTGCTCTGATTCGAACAGGAAGCATCAAGATCAGAGCTATGGCAAAACGAATGAAACGAATGGAGCTTTCAAACACAGCGTCCTGGGGCCACACCACATTCAGTGACAGTTTCTGGCAAATACTTCTGCCCAGGGGCCCAGTATTTTCCGGCATCCCAAGCTTGATGCTAGTGAGCTAGTGGACCCAGAGGCTAGTCACCTGTTCTTCTTCAAATCGTCATAGCTCTCAGCTGGTGTGACCGAGTATTTTCGCCGTTTTAGGCTGCTGCTAGTGCCATGGAACTTCGCGTTCCTCCCCTGGGCCTTGGCGCACGGCCTCCGCTAGCGGCAGGAAAGTATGCGCTCGGGACAGACGGCAGAAGGATACCTTTCATGTGGTTTAGTGGACTGAACGCCGTTGGTGCAGTCCTAGCACTACGGAGCCACTCGCGGCCAGATCAAACACCGTTCTCTCAGAGGAACCGAATGCTGCAAAGGCCTCGCGAGCAGTATGCATCTCGTACCGGTCGCAATGACAAGCGGAAGCGCCCACATTTTCTCCTGACACCTACGAACCCACGGGTTCATCTCACACCAGGGCGGACGCAAGACGCCTCAAGTGTTCGATATAAAATCAAAAATGCCAGGCGCCCACAGCAGCTGCAGAATATTCTGGAGCGAACCCAAGCAGAGGGTAAACTTGACTCCAGTGTGCTCGGCGCAGCAATGCAAAGATGTGGGCATGGACTGTGGTGGCCTGAGCTCGTTGATGTTTATACCATGCACCAGCAGTTTGGAATTGCGTTGCACTGCATCGAACACAACATTTTGTTGCATGCTTTGACATCTTGTCTCAAATGCAAGAAGACCTCTGTGGCAACTATGGAGAGCCGGAAGCATGAGGCCCTGGAAATAGCCAAGAGTGCCTGGGGCTCGCCTCCCCCGACAACAGTGGCAGACTTCAACTGTGGTTTGAGCAGTGCTCTGCGCTTATGTTCTCGCATAGGCAGCGATTCGGCGTATGCGTGGGCAGACGATATTTGGAAGAAGTCCGAACTGCAGCCGTTCCCAAAAACGTTTGTGACATATGCTGCCAGAACTTGTCTTTGCGAGCAGCGTGGTGAGTATCAGGCTGTATCTGACCTGCTAATGCAGACGGTTCGGCAAAGGCTTTCTCCGGATGAGGTGCTTCTTGGCGGGTTGCTCCAGGAATCAGCAGCCCACTTCAACTGGAAACGTGCCGATGATATTTGGCAGCTGTTTCTGACGCAGCACCAAGTAAAACCGAACTTCTTGACTTACACTGCATACGCCAAGGCTCACCTTCTTGCAGGACGGCCTCACGTGAGTGTTCGGATCATTGAGACCATGCTGTCAGCTGGTACTTGCAAGATGGACTACAAGCTTGCGATAGAGTTTACTCAAGCCCTCCTTCTTGTGTGCCACTCGTCCTTGGCCCCATCCGACACAAAGCGGCTGACGACTTTCTTGGGTGAGGGTGCCAAGATCATTGCTAACGAGTCAGCGGGGTCGGGCAAGGACCAGTGGCAAGATTTGACATCCCGGGCAAACCAGCTGATGGCCGACCCAAGCTCTGTCACCTTTGCGGACCTTCTCATCACAATGAATGCTCGCGAACTCAGTGTGATGAAGTCTTGGCCCAATTACCCGCCAGGCAGCGGCTACTTGAAACACAGGTGATTCGTGGTAAGCCTGAGGATTTCACCGGCTTGTATTTTAAAGTTGGCTTGAGGGATCTTGAATGCTGGAGGGGCTGTTGTGGCACAAGGGCCTTGGTTGCAAATCTGAACAGGCAGCTGCTTGTTCTAAACGTATTAATGTGAAATGGAAAGCCGCCGATATTTGCTGTACAGTTCCGAAGTTTCAACCAGTAGCCCGATAGCAACTGTTCCAGTAGCATCTGTATTCGGAATAGTACATCTCATTACAAGGGGCACTATGTTGCAGAGCCCCTTGTCGGAGCACCTGGAAGTTTGGTCGTTCCTGTGTCTGGGCAAGGACATACCGCGCCAGCGGCAGCCTCAGCTTCAAACTCATTGTAGTTCTCCAGAAACGGCTATGGAGTTGTCTTCTTCTGTGCTTTTTCATAGGGTCTGTGAGGGTTGTAGGATGGCGTATCTTAACAGCATGCCAGTTGTCATGATTAGTTTCATGAGTTGTTTCATGCCGAAAGGACGGAGATGGACTGTCCCACTCACTCCACAGAAGATACTCTGCTGAGTCACTCTACTTGCAGGAAGCCACCAGCCCAGCAGAGCTTCGGGACTAGAGGAAGCACATCCTCGAGGGGTCTTGTGAAGTTGCCATACAAATCGCTACCTTCTGATGCACATCGGAGACCGGATAGACAGGTCAAGAGCAAAGACCCCCTTACCCCAAATCCTGAAAACCGATTCTTGACCGAGAGTGAATGTTGAACTCTAAGCCGTGCCTGAAAGCCTCATCTTCGAAACAAGAGCCCCCAAACGCGGCAACCTCAACCCAGGAAGTGCATACCAAACTAAGCCAAAACCCAACGCTCTAGCCCTGGCCCTGACGCTCTAAACTCAAAGGCCGACCTTCCTGAACGCGAATCCCATGCCATGAGCGCCCCGAACCGAATAAGCCCTGCTTAAGTTCTGAACCCAACAAAGCTCATCGAAAACCAAAACCCCATACCAAGCCCCAAACCCTGAACCCTAAGCCCTAGATTCTAAACCCAAAGCCCTAAACCCTACCTAGCCCAAATCAATCAACCTAAGACCTTCCACGCAATCTGGGTTCTAAGCCCCAAGTCCCTAAGTTAGCCCTCAGTGCTAAGCCCGAAAACCCCAAACCCTAAAGTCTTGAACCCCAAGGCTGTTAGGGCGGCCGAAGGAGATGCGGAGGAGAGAAGATCCGGTTTGAGCAGTTTACCATAAGCAGGGCTCAGGGTTTAAGGTCTGGGTCGAGTCCTGGGTGTTTCGGGAGATGGTTTTAGGGTTTATGTAGGGGTTCGCGGGTTTAGATGGCACGATTGGGATTTTGAGGGTCGAGAACAGGTGATGCACGGTTTGAGGGAAAGGGCATCACCGGGGTCGGTTCTTGAGGATGCCCGGGTCTCACTTCTTTGCCGGCACGGGGATGCATATTGAGGCGAAGTAGGGGTTTAGGTCGAGTAATTGTGTTTAGGATGGTAAGTTGAAGGCCGGAGCATGGTTGCTAATTTCAATTTAATAGATTCACAGCAATAGATGTCAATTTTCATACGAATGTTAATGAGAAGGTTATTACCGTACAATACTGATATTTCGTCTCTAGCCCAGAAGTGTCTCTCAAAGACACCAGGTCAGGGCAGGGATGCCGTGGTAGCAAATGGCTTCAGGATTCACCAGCACGGCTTGTGAACGAATGCGTATATTGTGAATGGCTTGTAGGTTCTATCTGGGGTGTCCCTGCGGAGTACGGCACAAGGGAGCCAATGCAGGAGCTGTGGTATCCGAAGCCGCGGAGTTGTGAGAGATGCACATGTGTATGCACATACAGACACCGTGTGCATACTTGTTAACTTGCCTACCCATCTCGTTCTCAACAGCTGATGTCCTGGACGGAAGTACGTACGACGCATGTATGTAAGTATTCATGCATGTAGACAGTGCATTTAACAAACGCACGTATAGATTATGGATCCCCCTTGGCCTGAATGGCCTCAGTGATACGCCAGCATGACTCTCTGGCCCGAGGCAGAACCAAGCGGTTTCGAAACCCAGATCGCAACGGCCCCCTGATTTGTAGAGGCCCTGTTCCACAAAGGCTTCGGTATTGAGATCGCTATTACTGCAATAGTGTTTACCGAGATACTGGCACTGTAATCCCCACCCTCCCGATACACAGCCTACGTGGACGGATAGATATGCCAGGCTAGGCAACTTTCGTTCTGTACGTAAGTTGCAGCATCCTTCTGCCTTGTCGTTTCCGAAAGATGCCATGGAAGCATGGTCTCCAGCTCCCCGCCGCAAGAGAAGTTGTTTCTTGTGCTGTTGGAGAAGGGAAGAGCATAGCCGAACGCTGATTACAGAATTCCGGCTCGTCCGAAGCAGACGGGATTAGAGAGCCCCTCCGCTTCTGTTCCCATAATCACCCCGAAACCCTAGTTGAAAGCCCCAAATCTGTTTCCAGAACACTCCGAACACCCCACAGACCTAAACGGTAAATATCCCTAACACTCATGAATTACTCAAGTAAAAAAACGAACCATAAATGCCAACACCCCGGAACTTCAAACCCGGAAGTTCGATCCGTTCATCCCCTCCTCGACTCTTCGTCCTCATTTTTTCGTCTGGATTCGAAGGAACTCCTGCATAGCGTATAGGCCGTATTGATTTCCTTTAGAGGGCTCCTCCACGGATTCTTTGAGGGTTTCCTTAAAGGATTGTGCAAGGTATCTGTGGTATATGGCCCATAGCGCTTTGGGGCATTATATGGTATAATGAGAATACGGAGTATTTCTAATTAAAGAAAGAGTATTCCTAAGCTTGTAGGCTTCCAAGGCTTCTACAGAAATTTGCGCTACGGTTCAAAGTGCTGACATCTTCTCTCCAACACCCTGGCTTAGAATCCCAAGGTTCCTGATTGGCTGCCTGCCGCTGGCGCTGCTGGTGTGCTTTTGGGCGTCGCGCCACATCTCACGCGAGACTACCCTGCATGGGCGGGCCCTGTCTCTTGGCAAGAAGCTTCTGAAAGGGGTTGCTATGGGGTGAATATCAATATGAACATGACCATGAGTGGTAATCTTAATGTTGCAGAAGTCTTTCTTTACATCATAATTCCTGTAGCAATAATAAAAAAAACTATTAATTGTAAGACTATAATCATACTACTATAAATAGTAGCAAGAAAAATAAGAATAACAATGGTCAGAACAATAACAATAGCAATAATAATAAGGTTTAGAAGTCCCAGGCTTCCTTTCACACAGATGACATCCGCATTCCCGATGTGCCCGGAAGAAGATTCGAACCCCAGCGCATCATCCGAAGCTTCGCTTGAAGTATTCCAGAAAATCGTGCTAGACTCGCTATCCATAGGCCCCATAGTAGTTTCTTGTTGGGATTACCTTATAGGATTCTAAATATGAACCCCAAAAGGAACTACTATCTGGGGCCTGTGGCTAGTTTGTGGAGTCCCGAATCCTACGCCCGCCCCAATTGCAAGGTTAAGGATTGAAGCTGTGGGAGGCTAGAGTTTTGAAGCCCTAAGCCGCCCCTAAACTCTAAACTGACCTAAACCCCTCTAAACCCTAAACCCTAAAACCCGAAACCCGAAGTGCTAAACACTAAACCATACCTTGTAGTATCCTGATAGAAACCTCATAGAAACCCGCAAGGGGCCCTAAACCATAAGCCTCGAAGCTCCAACACGAAGATCCAGGCAAGCGCGCCATGCGAAACCTGCTCCACAGTGTGCCGAGATCTCGGAGGAGATTGGTTTTGAGCTTGGGGTTTAGGGTTCAGCGTCAAGGGGTTTGGGGTTCGGGGTTCAGGGTTCAGGGTTTAGGGTTTTAGGGTTTAGGGTTTAGGGTTCAGGGTTCAGGGTTCAGGGTTTAGGGTTGAGGGAACGTCTGAAGTGTTTGATTGGAATGGGTAGGTGTTGAGAAGGGCAGCGAGGATGCCTGTCGACGATCTCAATCAAAGGATGCGTGGCTTTCATCTTGCCTATGTTAAAGGGAACACGAACTTCGCACGACCGGAAGCATTCTTGGCAGGAGGTGCCTAATGGCTACGAATGGCATGCAACCGCTGAGTCTTTCGAGTTCTTCCGATGCCTGCCGCTTGATCGACAGAGAGGCTGTATAGGATTCAGGCTGACAGTGGTGTTGCTTGCTGCGTGTGCCCCTAAACCACTGTGACTTCAGCTTTTTTCGGTTTGCAGTGTGGATGTTCTACAACCCCCCTCCACGGCCCCAGTTCGGTCTTCGGGGATTGTGAAAGCAGAAGCTAGCGCACGTAGTCTTCGCATTTGTGCCCTGATTGGATTTATTCGCCGATATCCTTCTAAAAACTTCATAATCTTTCGCAAGTGCCTTCCTGATTACTGCTTAGGTTAGCGCACTGCATGCCTAAACCCGTTTCTCAATGTTTGACCAGCTACAACGTTGTTGAAGCTAAGCCGTGTAAATAGTATACAGTAATATTTCTGCCTTGCTGGGGCTTGCAACAACGACAGGCTTATTTTCAGACCCCCTTATAAAGAGATTGTTCGTCTTTGGCATTCGGATCCCAATAGCCCCTATCAGGGGAGGACGGGTGCATTAGACATAGATTTCAGTAGTTTGGTTCTGGGGTTGGTAGGGCCTGCAATACGAGCTTTAGTCATTTGAGCAGTTTTTGTCCAAGGCTTCCCCAATCTTACTATATTTTGATTAATATTACGCCCTAAAGACCCCATTCTGGCCTGCGTGACACCGGAGCAGTGCAGCCGAGGCATGATGTTCAAGCGCTGGATATCTTCCTGAGTGCTGTGTACTTCAAGGACACAACAAGTGAGACGGTTTTACATAGGGAGGGGAATTTGGAATAGGATCCCCTGATAGTCCCCATGCACTTAAAGTAGAATGTAGTCGAAAAGCCTTATTTAGCTGTTGAGGGCCATTTACTACCTTGCGTTTGTGGTCCTTGCCAGATGTGTCTGGACGTGGCGTTCTAGGGGTCGGGCTCCGAGACTAAACATGGACACTGCTTGTCAATAGGGTTTACCTATAGTCTCCATTGTAGTTCCTTTTTGGGGATACCATATAGAATCCTGAATATACAACTGGTAAAACCAGCAAAAGGAACTACAATGGAGACTATAGGTAGGGTTTAGGGTTTAAGGAAGATTACAGAGGCCCGGGTTAAGAGAGTTTAGAACATCTGCCATGCAACATTGAGTCTACTGCCTCGTGGGTGTCGTGCTCGTGCAGACAAACACCCTCAGCCAACTGAGCGAGTCAGCTAGTGGCCCTCAAGTATGCAGTCGCAGGAAGTGGAGCGCAGGATTAAGGATTGTTCACACTGTCGATGGCGTTTGTGTCTGCTGACAGTTACTGTAGTAGACTTCAATGGTTCAAGTCGATTCCCAGACGCACCTTCCCCCCACCCGCCCTTCCAGAAGAGCAGTGCGCGAAGCCAAAAACCCAGATAAGGTCTTCGAAAACCCTCAACCTCTCCGAGCCTCCATGCCTACAGCCGAGCTTTCCCGAGGTCCAGATGGGCTTCAGGTTGTCTAATGTATGTATGTGTATATATATATAGATATGTATATCTATATATATATATATATCTGTATATATATACATATTATATATATATAGATATCATTACATATAGATGCATATATATATATATATACGTACATAACTAAGTAAATAAATAAATATAGGTAAATAAACATAAGTATATATATATATATGTATATTTATGGATGATCCCCCCATGTATATGTATATAGAGGAACCCATACGGAATAGTATTGCTAATTCTTCCGACCCCGTTGCTTGATGGAGTTTGCAATTGTTCATTCGCACAGGAGTCGGCAAAACCAGTTCAGGTCCCGGTTAACGGTGCTGGGCCCGGGTTGCCCAGAGTTTGGCTAAATCCAGCAGCTTGGCTCAGCTTCGGATATACGGGTACACTGCCGAGATTATAATCAAAAGTGGCTTAAATAATGACCTATACTGTTTGCTAGAGTGAACAAATGCACTATATTGTAGTATACCTCGCGAATCCTATTCTAACTATTAAGTCCGGGACCCCTATCTTGCTGGCAGGCTTCCAAGTGAGGATCCATTTTGGGGAAGGTGTTTGCAAGATTGCAACCCCTGTTGGCTTCAGTCCTCCGTGAACATGTTATGATAGTATTTTCACAACCCTAATGCCTGAACCCTGAACCCCAAGCCCTGACCCCCAACAAACTTAGTAGACCCCAAGGATAGTCATACTCGTCCCCTGACTGTGCAGCCGGAGCTCCACCATCTGAGGAAGTTGATGTCCATCACCTCATCTACAAAATCGGCGACGAGGTACGGTACGTCGCCACCTGGCTCACGGATCCCTAAACCCTAAACCCTAAACCCTAAACCCTAAACCCTAAACCCTAAAACCTAGACTACCCCCCAACCCCTCAGAGCCTCGGAGCCTAAACGTAACCGCTGCAAGTTCGACCCCGGACCTGAACGCTAGAGATCATAGGTCCTCAATCGCCGACGTGGCTTCTGAGTCTGGTTTTGGGGGTTGAGGGTTTAGGGAGTTTTGGCATCAGGAATGCAAGTGAGGGTATGCTTTCCAGGTATGATGCTATCTGTCGTGGCCGAACTTCCATACCAGGGTCATCACAACTATCAGATCGAACTTATGAACTATTCCAACTTGGGGTTGCCTACACTGGTCTTCCGATAGTGTCTGACTTCTTTTCTCCGAAAGTTCTCATTTGCATGTAATGCTGGCCGCTGTCATCTCGGCACCTGACTGAATGTTTAAGTCGACTTCTGCAATGTTGATATCTGGTTGGCTGGCTTTCCTACAGCCTAAATCAGCAAAAAACACTTGGGTTCGCATAAAGCCTAACGCAAAACCCAAAATCTATACTCCACCACCGGACCGACTTCGTTGGCGATGTCAAGCTTTTTGTGGGTTCGTTCGGCAGAATCTGAGGCCTTGTCTGGTTCAAGTACATGGGGGTCTTAGTAGTTAGAGTCGGGGGTTTTGGGCTTGTCAGCCTAGTTGCAGTATACCTATAGTCTCCATTGTAGTTCCTTTTTGGAGATACCTTATAAAATCCTGAATATATAATTGCTTGAGCCAAAACAAGGAACTACAATGGAGACTATAGGTAGTTCCATTCGGGAACCTACGGAATGAGATTTAGAGGAATTACTAAGCCGCAGGCAGACTTTGGGGGCCGGGATTTTGGGGTTGAGGGATTCGCGTGTAGGGTTCAGGGTTTAGGGTATAGGCTTTGGGGGTTTAGGCTTTCGGGGTTTAGCGTTTATTAGGCTTGAGGGCCTATGTCTCACTTGCAGCCCTTTAGCCACCGCTAAAATACTGCGAGTGCCTGAATCCCAGCCACTAAACCTGAAGCCGGAAAACGCAAGCTTAGGCCCCACAGCGGCACTCCAGACCATCCCGACAGCGGAGCCTCTAAATGACCCGAAGCCGACGTTCCATGGTCCCGGATGTTGGAGAACCCAGGAGACATCCTCATGTCATGTCCTCATGGTCTGCTCCAAACATTCAACCCTGTGCCCGATTCACAGTTTCATGGGCCTGAAAAATGTCGGCCCTAAACCCTAAACGCTGAACCCTAAACTCCAAGAAACCTTGAGCCCTAAACCCAGAACCCAGGTGGTGGAGGGAACCGACCTTTCTGCCGAGCAGTTTCGTAATTCCCCCAGCTGCGGTAAGTGGCTGCATCGATGGTGCATCGTGCGGGAGGCCGGGATCCTCGTCCCCAAACCTCACCAAGACCTCTGAGCCCAAAAGGCCCTAAAGAGTACAAGTGCGAAAAGCTCCTTGGGGATTCAATACACGCGCACACACAAGTTGAGCGTGTCTTATTTGGTTCTTTCACTGCGAACACCGCACCGGCAGTATGACATGCACACACATGTGTGTGTGTGTGTTTATATCTGTATATATGTTATATATGTATATGCATACACATACATGCATACGTATGTGTACATACAGACGCATAGGTTCATATCTGCATGGAATAATGAAAGCAGCCTTATGACTGTATACAATGCATCTGTATACGTATTTATGGGTGTAGACGCATACATGTACATGTATATATATAT